TCGCCAAAAAGTCCACTTGATCAAACTTGAATCTTGACCCATTAAAATCGGTTGATTTTTAGAGTCAAACTCAAAAAACCCATAATCACTATGATATGGAGCTTGGGCCAAACTTTATGGGCAGCGTGAAGAGGATGCAAGTGAACGACAAAGGACATTCACCGACTAATCAAGAATATAACATGATCTACTTCAACTAAATCATTCCTTAGAATTAAATAACAAACCATAAGATTTTGAGGTAGTTCGTCTGAAACGACGTAAATCCTCACTCTATCTTTAGGCTTATGTATGACCGTGTCATGCAATATATGCTCTAACTCTTTTAGGACTTTAAGGTTGCTGTTTGATACGACATAAACACTCCGATCTTCCTAAGCTATTTGCACTATCAGATATGTTGTAAGTGTAAGCCCAAAATAATTGGCAAGTGCAAACATTAAACGACATTATTTCTAAAACATAAAGCCAAACAATAGGATAGTTTGGGAAGTCACCAGGGTTTCCCTCGGATCCGTGAAATCCCCTACCTTTCATTCCTTTGGACTCCTAAATAAGTGTTCCTACTTGAGTCATTCCCTTTTAGCCTTCCCATGTCTAACCTTGAAAACTTAAGCTTTGAAATCTTGAAGACAAAATCACTAATCTTAATCAAAATTTTTCTTAAGTGACTTTGGTGATTTGAGATGTAATTAACTATAGGGGTTCGCCTCTATAGAGAACTAAGAACCTATGTAAAATAAACTCTATCTAATATTTATATTCGGTGAGGGAACTTTTCGGTCACACACAAATGTTTGCAGGCCAAACGAATGACATAAATCATTTAATTTATATAATTGAACCCACTATCAAGTAGTATGTCTATCTCTCGGGATGATGTATTACTTGTGGAGTTGTGCTCGATTGTCAAAACAAGTAAATGTATGAGATCTTTTCAGTCACATATTTTTCAAAGTTAAAACACTATTTTCATAGTCAAAATTATATATATTAAATTAAATCAAAATCTATTTTAAAATAAAGCGACGGACAATTACCAAACCATCTAAGATGACTCGCTCTAATTTTGTCCACCACAGGAGCTACACTAACTTTTTCACTGATATATTCATTTCACATTTTATTTTTAAGTGTAAAGCCACTCATCCACCTAAGCATTCTCATTTTCGCAACACTTAACTTAATTTTATGATTCACTTTTAAAGGCCAACATTTTGTGCCATTGAACATTACAGGTCTCACCACCATCTTATAAAAATTTCATTTCAGTCTAAGTGGTACTTTTTTATCACATAATAGACCCAAAGCATTCCTCCACTTCAACCAACCCAAATTGAATTATACTAATAACACCCCTTCTACATCACCATCACCTAAAACACTGGACATGAGATATCTAAGGAGTTCACACCTTAGATATATCCACAAGAAGGATATCAACAACAAAAAGTATAAACTAAGGTACATCCTTATGTAAATGTCCAATATGAGCATCCAACCATACCTTTGAGTGTTGGAGCAAGTGAGTCAGCAGAGCTGGAGTTGCCGGAGATGGGGTTGTTACAAATATGGTTGTTGGGTCACTGGAGTCATCAAGAGAGGGGAGAGGAGGGTTAGAACATGAGGGAGAGGGAGAGACCTAGTGGGATCAGGGATTAGGGCAAGTTCGGGGGCGTAGCGAATTTCAGCAGTATAAAGGATTCGTTATGATGGCTTACAAACAACTTCAACTTCATAGTAATAATGATGGCATTGACCTTCAGTTACTAAAAAAGCTCCTCAGTTAATGCTCCATCAAATGGTGAGTTTATAAATAATCGATGACATACAAACGCAATTATTATGTGCTTATAAACGACAATGAAATGCGTCGGTTATAATAAAAACTGTCGGAAACTAATCTACTTGTCATAAGCAACAGTGTCATGTTGTTATGTCATCAGAAATAACTAAATACGTAAGTCGTTGTAAAACCGTAGAAAAATAGTATATCTTTACCTACGAAAATTTAAACTGTCAATTTTGTCGTAAGTTATAGTTCTTTTTTTTTTGTAGTGTAATCAAATTTTTATGGAAATTGTATGCTTAAAAAGTGGAAGGGAATCAATTTTTTCATAACCATTCACAATATTGAGAGGGCGCTAAACTACATACATTTTAACCACATAGAGCATCTACCATTACGACTGAGGTTGATGTCAGATATATGTTGTCTATTATTAATATATTTCCTTAACAAGTTTGGCTCTTCTTTCTAAAGCAAAAGAGTAGTGTATTTAATATCCTTAAGGAGTGAAAAATTAAGATTAACAGGCATACTATTAAGCAAACTAATTGCCTTCATGTTGATAATGGCTTAGTTTTGTTCAAAAACATTTAATAATTGTTGCAAAGCAAAAAAGAAAATTGAGAAACTTAACGGTTTAAAAGTAATATAGTTGAGTGGATAACTAAAACTATAATAAGAAAAATATGATGCAGACTCTTCAATGTTGAGTTATCTTGGTTGTTTTAAGTGAGTCTACAATTTGATAAGTCACTCTCCTTCTACTGTTATCGGTAAGAAGACTTCCTATGAGGTTTGCTTTGATAAACTTGTATGTTAATCTAATCTAAAGATATTTGATCCCGCACCCGATGCTCATATTGATAATGATACATTGGAGTCTACATTCATAAGTTGTATATTTTTAGTTAAAAGGTTTAAGTTAAATGTTACAAGTTGTTGTGCCCAAAAGTTAAAAAAAAATTGTTTGTTAACATTGATGTTGATTTCGATTAGTTTATCATATACGTGCATCACTTTCAACTGAATCTAATGATTTTAACTAAAAGAAAATTCTAAAAAATAGATTGAGGTTTTCACTTAGACATTTACATCATCTAGTATAACTTTAAGGAAAAATTTAGAGAGTCATGATAATGTTGATTTCTCATTACAACAACTACATCTACCATAGTATTTTGTCATCAAAGATAAATTAAAGCAAAAAAGTAAGCTACAATAGAGATAAAATGAGGCTAATATAATGTATGATAGCTTAATTGTGACCAAATTTAGTAAGTTTGGTGAAGAGCCTCAGCTTAATTGTGACCAAATTTAGTAAGTTTGGTGAAGAGCCTCTTAGCTACAAATTGATAATTAATTTATTTGACTATGGCAAGTGGATAATTTTTTTATAGGAGATGATGGAATCCTTACACAACAATGGCACATAAAATTTAGTGAACCTGGCATAAGGGGAAAAAATAGTTGTTGTTTAGAATTTCTGGAGAAAAAAGGGTACACAAGGAGTTAAAGATGCCAGTTAAAAAACTAGATTGATTGTGAAGGGATTCAATCATATTTTGGGTGTAGGTCTTATAGATGTGTTCTGTCTAATGTTTAAGCATAGCTCAATTTAAACTAGGTATTATTATTAAACATGATCTTAATCTTAAGTAGTTAGATGTTTTTTTTTTCCCCATAAAGAGTTTAAGGAGAACATTCATATGCATAAACCTATGAGATTCATAAAAGTTGGTAGAAAGGACTACATTTTCTTGTTAATAAAATTGCTTGATAGTTTAACATGGTCACCTAGTTAGTATTATTAAAAAATTGAATCATTTAAGAGTTTCATGAGTTGAGAGAAGTGATTATGATAGTTATGTTTCTTTCAAGAGGGCAAGTAGTGGAATGTATTAATCAAATAAGTTTAATTATAAAATAAAGTAGTAAGTATTTTGTGATAAAGGGTTAATCTCATTTTATATAATTAGTGAAGCTTCCTCCTGCATTTACTATTTTTATGATGTATATATGTAGATGATATTATAAGAAAATAAAAGATAAAACTCGGCATAATGTTAAAGATGATTAAAGAAGATTAATTATATATATATATATATATATATATATATATATATCATTTGTAGGAATGTATACATGTCACTTGTCATAGGTGACATGTATTCAAATAAAATAATAATAAATGTTATTATTTAGTGAGGTTAATGCAATTAATTACATGGTGAAATATTTATAAACAATGTGCTTTATTAGCACGGACATTGGATTTTAAATGGTTATTTCCATAAAAAGTTTTTTTTTTTTTTTGGAAAGGAGAGTATAAAGGGCAATGTGTGTGATTCAAACCAACATCCTTACAGTGGGAAATTACATCCTCAACCACTATGTCGACGATAAGTGCACTAGTAACTATTATTACTTATAATCTTAAGGAAGATTTACATGCCTACCAATCAATTCTTATGTATTTACATATCTAGCTTCTCAACTTTAATTTGTATATACATACTACCTTACTTATGCATGGAAACGTGCATTTCACATTTTAAAGTTAAAATGATGGTATTTTTTTACGCTATGTAAAAGATTGGTTGGTATGAATATAGATAGTAAAGTTTATGTGTTAGATAAAAACCTCTTATTTTAAACAAATGGAGAATGCGGTGAAGTTGCATTATGGAGGAGAGTTATGCCATGAGTTTCACACCTATATTTTTCATCCATATTATTCCTTTCCTCTATTAGTGTAGATGGTAGTAATTCATTTTTTGAAAAAACATTCTGTCATTGATTTAAATTTGGAAGAAATTGAATAAACATCATAATTATGCTTCATTGAAATAGCCAAGAACATTTCATAAAATGATTGACAAAAATAATAAAATATAAAATGATATTTATTATTTTAGAAATTGATGAACTCCTAAATATCATAGAACATGATCTTACATGGTTGCTATGCAAAGCTAGTTTGCAACTTTCTTGCATACAAACAAGATTTATTGCATAAACATAAGTAATAAAAAGATACATATGATGATTTTGATTGAGTTGAAAATTTTTTTTGTAGATGTGAAGCGGGGTACAATATTTGATAAAGGATAACCAAGGTGATTATGTCAATATTCATGGTTAGGTTTGAGGATAACTTTGGCTTTGCTTGAAATCTGCAAGAGCCACTTTGATGCTAAACCACACACATGTTTTATTTTGGCTCCACCCTCGAGCTAGAGGTGCCCTCGAAGTGAGAACCTAGAAGCAAAAAAAAAAGGTAATTGTTAAACTCAATAGATATATGATTGATACTAGATGTAAATAGAAAATAAAATTTGTTTCACATCAGGTGCACATAATTTACTATCTAGAATAAACAAAGTGGAGCAAAGAGAGATGGAGGATTTGCATGTGTGTAATTTGAATACCTGTGCCATCTCTAATAAAAATATCATCATGGTCGTCATAAGTCTTACGCAGAGAGAGTCTTTTTATGTCTGATATAAGGCGATATGAAGAGCTATTGTTAAGGAACCATTTGTGTTGTGAGTTCTGGTGGTTAGTAGTTATAAAATTAGTCTTAGGCGGAATGGGCAGTCCCATAAGTCGTCTTACAGTGAAGCATTCTCGTGCAGTGTGACTACGTTTTCCGCAGAATTGACACACCAAATTGAATCTTTTTGGCAAATTTGGATTAGGTGAGAACACAAGATTTTGTTGTATATGGTTTTGATCTGGTTGTTTTTGAAAACGTCCAATTTTATATTGATTAAAATTGTATTTTTGGGAATTATTGATTGTAATTGGACGAAAATTGTTGACCAATGAGGCTCGATTGAGGAAATCTTCATATTCAATTAGTTTTTCATGAAGAGCTTCAAATGAAATTGGTTGCTCTCTCGCTCGAATGGCTCCACCAATCTCTTTAAATTCTGGTCCAACTCCATTTAAGCAGTGAAGAATGAGATCTTCTTCTTGTAATGGGGCCCCAGCGAGAGCCAGTTGATCAGCAAGACTTTTGACTGATTGGAGAAATTCTGTGACAGACTTGTTGCCACGAGTAGCTTGCGATAATCTCTCCTTTAAGAAGAGAATATGTGAACGTGATCGATTGGCGTACATCTGAGTAAGTTTATCCCATGCATCACGAGATGATGAGGAGGAGGCAATGTAAGCCATGAGTGGTTCAGATATTGAAGCAAACATGGCGTGAAGCAAGAGTTGATCTTGTTGGACCCAAAAAGCATGATCTGGGTTGGTGACTTCAAAACCTTCTTGGATGATGGTTGGTGTGGGTTCGGGTATGTCACCATTGATATAACCGAGCAGATTGTATCCTTGAAGTAGGGATTGTACTTGAGCTCGCCATGATGGATAGTTGTTGGGTGTTAGTTTAAGTGGTAGTTGAACGGCTGGGTTGATGAATATCACTGGAGGTTGAGTGGTCAGAGAAGAGGCAACGTTTGCATTATCATTGTCCATGGAGTCTGAGGGTAGCATAACTCTGTCAATTGCAAGCTCTAATACTATATAGAAACTTAGAGATAGTATTTAGAGATAGTATTCGACATAGAATGAAGAGACTAGAATTAACTAATTCCATTCAACCCTTGAGGAGGCTTATATATTGGGTTACAGACCATATGTGGTAAGTATTTGAACAAAAATAGTAAATACTATCACTTAATGCAATATATACTATTAATTACATGATGAATAGTAATAATATTAATATGAATTATTATCTTGATTTTTTTAATGATTATTTCCATAATTAAGCATTATCCTTGGATCATCATTGTGATATATATACATTAATACATTAGAACACTGAATCCAAACTTATTAATGATGTTCATTCTTCCTTTTGTACTTCGGCACAGAGAATATCCATTGAAGATACTCAATTATTGTTCTACGTATTTTAAAACTTTTTAGCTATTCGTCTCACATTGGTTGGATCACTAATTGATGTTCTAAAATTCAATTTAGTATAAATTCTCTATCCTATGTCGGGTTATATTTAAGAACTATGTGCAATTTACACGAAGATAGTTGACAAATGTAAACTTTTTCCCTGTATTTAGACATTATATTTAAAGGGTAAATTGTTTAACAAGCTAGATTTTAGTTTGTGATAATAATAATAATAATAATATTTTAAAACAATGACTTCTAATTGGCATTTGAACCACCCAATTATAAAGTTGATTTTTTTTCTTAGATTAATATGGTGCTTGAGTAAATCTAATGATTGTGAATTTTTTTTTTCCTATGAAGGCATGGTGATTGATTGAAAAAACATAATATTTTAAGCTGACTTGTGAAAATTCTTTTCCACAAGTACAATATACATTTAAAATTCTCTCTTTTTTTATTATATGTAATGCAATTATGCAATTTTGATTTAACTTGTGGAGGCTGATGTCAAAATTTAAAAATGTCCCACTTGAGCTACTACTTTTTGTAATGGTTTTGTTTTCAATATTATCCAATTTCAATAGATTAAAAAAAAATTGTTGTTTTGTAGTATATAATATATAGTTTGATGGAGTGAAATCTAATTTAAATTTAAAGAGAGAAAAAATAGTAAAAGATTAATATACTAAATTACTAAGGGAATTTTACTCGGATTCATTTAATCGATGCCATGTTTTGTAGTTTTCATCATAAATTTTACTATTATTTTAACATGGAGAATAACAATCGTAATACCCCTTAAACAATATCAAGTTGAGCCCCCTCGTTTATATGGGTCAACCACAAATTATGTTTGTTTAAGTTATTTATTTTGTTAAATAAAAATTAAACTCAGCAACAAAACTTTGTTGAGATATCTCCATTTTATCAAACAGATGGAGTATCCCCTCTCCACTATAATTGCTTCATTTTAAGAGAAATTACAACATATTCATCTCAATTTCACCCGAATATCTTTATTTGTTATTAGAAAGTGTTTCATTGATTCTTTGATAGTTGCTATCAGTATTAAAGGAATTTCTTATTACATTTATGTCTCCTTTGTAACTCGCTTTATAGTTGGAAGACAATTCAATAGGCTTTAGTACAAGTTCCTTTTTTTCTTACTCAATATTAGAAAGATACTAAAAATAGTTATAATGCTTCTTCTTATTATTTGCGTATAGGTGGTATTACACCTTCCTTATTTCATACTTTATTTTCAAAGGAAAATCCCCACATATCCATTAACACTTGAGTTGTCAGATATTAAGATGTAAGGGAAAATGTCAACTTTTAGTTGGAAATGCCTATGAGTAAATTCTTAAGATTATAATGTAAACAACAAATTTAAGCTACAAAAGTGAAGTGCTAAATTTGAATATAAAATAGTAGAGTGAATGCTAAATAAAATGCAGTAAAAAGATAAAATTAATTAAACTAATTCCTAAACTTTCAAAAAAAAACTTACAAAATCTAAACAAAGTTTTGGTGACAAAAAATTCAAATTTAAAAAAAAACATCCTTGCTCTTTACAATGAGTATATGGATTGTGATGAAATTAAAATCATTTAAATATATATATATATATAGTGCAAAATAGGAGCAATCCTATTCTTTACTCTCTTCCAAGTGCATAAAGAATATTGACTAATTCAGAGTTTGGTCTCTAATTCTGTAGTTAGGCTAGGAGGATACCGACTGCCATTCTAGAGCTCCCACTACTCCCTCACATGAGGGCTAACAATCTCACATTAGTTTCCATTCAATTGGACCATTCTATCACCTTAAAATCTCCAATTATGTTTCCAACAAAGTATATTTTCCTATTTTTTTGCACTAAACCCTAAGGATGACATCCTCTCCCATAGAATCAAATGTGATTCTCACTATGTTTTAGAAATCATAGCTCTTTTAGAACAAATGTTTCTCAACACATTTTAACATTTCTATTGGCATCAAAGTTCAATACAAATTTTTGACATTTAAAATTGTATAATATATAAAATTAATTTTTCACAAAACCATATCTCAATGTAGGGAGAAGGATAAAGAAGACTACTTAGAATTCATGAGAAGGATATAATAAAACACAGATTTCATATATAAAAACAAGTTTACAAAAGAAAGAAATAAAAGACACAACCTATCTCACAATCCTTCCCAAGCAAATCCCTATAAGTTCTCTTCAAGCACTTTCCCTCTTTACAAGCACTCTCAATTCTTTCTTATAAGAGTAATGAAGAAGAAATCTCTCACATTCCCTCTCCTCTTACAATCCTTGAAGAAAATCTCCAAGCCCTTGACTTCCTCTCTGACTCTCTCTCTCTCTTTCCTTCTTCAAACTCCATCTCATTCACGCCTCTTTTCTACCTCCCTTACAAGCCGTAAACTTCCCTCTCTTTTATTAGAGGCTGCCTCCCCCCCAAAAAGAATTCAAAAATTTCCTCCAACATTCTATTCTAAAGTCAACCCTTTTGAATTTCAAAAGACATGTCTATTGATCCAAGAGACATATCCCTTCATAAAAGAACCTTCCAAAGTGTTTAGATGCATTGAATCACTCCATGGTGTGTTGAGAACAAGTTTCCCTTTTGAAATTTGCATAAAAATTGTCTCAAACAGCCTTAATCCGCTAAAAGTCGACTCTTGCAGCTGAAGTACTGGTTCTGATGCTTCAACGCCAACTTGTTTAAGACACTATTATTCTGGGTTTTGGCGCTTCAGGCGCCAAATCTGGCACTTTAGGTGCCAACTCTCTATAAAATGATGCTTCAGGCACCAGCACTCTGTAAAGTGATGCTTCAGGCACCAGAATCTTAAAATTTGTTGTTTTGGCTACCAATTTTGTCCTTTTTGCTACTTTTTCTCCTAATTCCTAAAATTGATATACCTGTGACAAAAACATGAAAATACCCTTATTTAAAGTGCAATATCACTAAAAATAAACATAAAATGTATACTTAAAAATACATACTATTTTGGTGTATCAGCTGCACAACATGAATATGGTAGATGGATGTCCAACCCATATATAGATCCACTGAGAATCAAAACCAAATCATATTTTACAATATAAGAACCCACATCAATAGGTCTTCTAGTTTGAATACAATAATTCAAAATAGTACTTCATCATTTTACTAATTTTCATAGTAAGAAGTAGTTTTAACGCAATAAAGAAATGTCACATCTTCGATACAGGATTCAATAATGATGAAAAAAAATTACATTTCTATCATCTCTTATCTCCCAATTTGCATCTTAATCAGTAAGGAATCGATAGAGTTCATCCATGGTGTCTCTCGTTGGGACAAAATTTGCATAGTCACAAATAGGAACACTTTCAATCATAAACATGTAATTTATTCTTGAAGGAGTGAATGGTACCAACCTGCCTCGAACATAGAAGAATCCTTGGTTAATTCCATGAAGATTAACATAAAGCTCTTTCACCATAGGAACTACTACCACAACAGTGGTATAGCAAAGCACTTCTTAGTGTCTTTGTGCAATAATTTCCTTCACTTGAGTATTTGGTGTGTTGAATACTTGATTCATGAAGTTTTACTCCTTGATTAATCTCTTCTTCACAAGAACTCGTTCATATAACTTTTGCGCATCCAAGCCGATGCTCTTCCTCCTATTGAAAATTTCATGTCTAGCGGTTTCTTAAGAGTGGGAAGCCATAGGATTTGAAAAATGGTGACTTTCCATTTTTATTCCACTCTTAATAACTTTAAACTTTAGTTTTTCGGAGTTAATAGGAAGAAAACCCGCCAAAAACCGCCCAAAACTCTCATTAGAATCATCCTTTTTCGTTTCGGTAACTGCGACACTTCTGGCACTGATTTCTGGTGCCTCTAGTGCAGTTCTCTGGAAAATGGCGTCTCAGGCACCAAACTAGATTTCTGCACTGTTTCATTTTAAATCCAAATAACTCTTAAATATTCTATACAATTTGGTAGCTAAAGATGTTTTAAAGTATTTTCTCAATATTTAAGTCTCTTAAGTACACAGAATTCATAAAGAAAACACACACACACACACACACACACACACACACACACACACAGATATATATATAT